TATACCGGAAGGTGTAGCCGAACATCGCTAGGTTAAACAGTAGAGTGGAAAGCACAGCGCCTTGTAGCGTCCCCCTAGTACCTAATTCGTAAGGTCCACATTCATTGTCTTGGATTCTGATGAGTGTGACTTGATCCGTCAAGAAATCTTTGATATAATTGAATGTGTTAGTGCCACAATGAATCTCACTGAGATGTACTAATATAATGCTGTGTTTTATGTTGTCGAAGGCTCATGTTAGGACAACTTTGTCGTTGTGAGGGTACTCTGTTGGTTGTAATATGTCATGACTGAGTAGTAATAATATGTCTCGTGCCGACTTGTGTGACGGAAGCCGAACATCGTGTCTGCGAATATATTAAAAATCTTCCAAGCAATCTGAAAGCTTATCTTGCACCATGGCCTCCCCACGCACGATGGGAGCAATATAAGTCTCAAGTTGTCCGTATTCATTTCCTTTCCTGCTTTCTGAATGAAATTGACAAGTGATGTTTTCCAGTCTAGTGGCACAGGCGTCTCCCCTTTCCATATCGCATTAATGTAGGTAAGAAGGGCCTCATACTCACCATCAGGGAGGTTGGCCAGCAGTTTCACTCTAACCTTGTCCCGACCGGGGGCAGTGTGTCTCGCCATTTCGGCCAAGGCCGCCTTAAGGTCGTAGAGCAGGAAAGGCTTATCCATCTCTTCGTTATCACTGCCTGCGTAGAAATATTCCTGACCTCGAGGGTCCTTTTTTTGTGTGTGCAGAGATATTTGTCCCTTAACGCCTCTGCCAGTTGTGTTGTTGTGCACTGAAAATTCTGTAAAGCACGTTGCAAGTGTTTCTGTGTTTCTCCCCACGATTGAGCGGGATCTATTAGGCTGCGGAAATGCTTTCATGTGTTCTTCCCTGACATTTGTAGGGCCGTCATGTTGCAACGAGCGATCCAGTTGGAATCAGCTAGCTGAGTGGCATAACCGGCAGCCTGTTGGGTCAGATTTGTTATACGTATTTGCAGCGTTCTGTTGTGCTTTTGTCGTTTCCATCTTTTTGTGAGACTGTGGCGAGCTTCCCAGAGATGGAGTAAATGATCCTCTACCACTAGGAGGTCCTCCGTAATTTTTGTGCGTTTCTCATGTTTCTTGGGTGTTGTCATAAGATTTTGAACCCATGAACTACATCCGCCACCGATAAGATTGGTCCATGGCAGGGGCTTACGGAAACCAGACCAGTCTAGCAGTTTGGCCTGATTCGATGGCCGTTTTAGAGGCTGGGTGTGAATCATCGTGTTAAGGAGGCAGTGATCACTGTCTAACGTTTCTTCGGTGTTGTACCACTCAATGTGTTTTATGCGTTTGGAAAGCGTGAGATCGGGACAAGTGTCGCGAGTCACAGAGTTTCCTACACGTGTTGGTTGTGCTGGGTCCGTCTGAAGCGTTATGCCTAACGTAGAAATGAGCTCCACTAGCTTAATTTCTACTACGAACTTCCTCCTTATTGTAATCCCACACCCTGTTGGGAGCATTGAAGTCCCCAACAATGAGTAAGGGATCCCGGCCAGCTATCTTCAGTGGCCGGCTTAAGATTACCACAAAAGTGGTGTGTTTTATCTTAGGCGGACAATAGATGTTAAGTATATGTAGTTGTGGGTCAGAGCGTCGCAGGGGTAGCACTGGGACTATGATGTACGAATATGTTACCTGCAGGTCGAAGTCTACCTCTTGTGCCGTGTATGCTTTTTGTACAAAGATGCAAGTAGATGGATCTCGCTGAAATGCATTGTACCCGGCAATTTTGAAGCCCCTGTGGTTCCTGTAAAGCAACAATAGCTCCTACATATTGGAACGTTTCTAAGTAGAGACGAAAATGAGTGTACTAAGCGCGATCCTTGAAGCCCCTACAATTCCACTCTTCGACTGACAGCGGTTCCTGTCTAGAGTTAGTACTCTTCTGCCTAAGTCCTTGCGCCACGATTAGCACTATTAGAAGCTGGCTGGCTCTCCACTGCCTGAAGGGTAGGAACGAGCGAGATGTCTTCAGTACCTTCCTCCTCAATATTGTGGTAAACTTTGGAAGGCTGACCCACGTCTTTTACGGAACTAGCCTGCCTAAACACTTTAGGACTAGCCTGGATCCATGCCTTGACATTTTTGGTCACAGCAGCGATGATTTGATGAGTGAATGTAGTCACCAGCTGTTGCATTTGTGCTTGTATAATTTTGGCAATAAGGTCAGCAGCGGAGCCATTTGGTCGGTGACACTTCTTTTAGAGACCCGATATGCGACTTTCGAAGGGCTAAGGAGAGGGCCATACGTTACTGGTCCCATGCCCGAGCACAGCGAGGCCGATTTATCATCGCTATCCAGAGTGCATGGTAAAAGCGATTCTGCCCTTTCGCTTTGGAGTGCATTAATTTTCTGCGCTAGTTGCTCATTTTTAGTTAGTAGAGAGGCTCATTCTTTCTTAAGCTCGAGTTCTAAATGTGATGGTGACCCCTGCCCAGTTTTTCACCTTGTTTGTGGCCGCTTTGCTGTCATCAGGGAGCGAGAAGTCCCCTTCCTGAGAAAATGACGTCTTGACACTTTGTCTAGATGCGTTGCTGTTTTAACCTCCTATGATTCCTTGTTGGTGGGAGCAGGCCCGGTGGCTCGTCCGGACTGGCCCTTCGACGCACCTCTATTGCCGGAAGTCTTGCTCATCTTCCTTTCAGAAGCCCCTTGTTGCTTTCCTGGGCGTTGAAGCCGGCGGAATTTTCCCTTGCAGTTTGCGGAGGTGGTGAGATGGGCCTCCCCACAAACCATGCACGAAGGGATGCACTCGTGTTCAACTACGCCCTGCTTGGAGGCGCCTACTCGCTGGCCACAATAGCCACATCTTGCGGCATCCGGATTTAGGCAATTGTTTATCCAGGGGCCGATTGTCCAACAGAGGGGGCAGGCTGGGTCGGTCTTCTTATATTCCCTAACAAGTGTGCATTCAAAGTTGTAGTGAATGTAGCGGGGCACTCACCGGCCCACGAAAGTGAGCACCGCCACGTTAGATGTTTCGAGTTTTCGCACTAACGCCAGCTCGCCCTCGTGCCAAACCACTTTGCCTTTAAGTGATGCCATATTTTCGTCTGCCCACACAGTGATGGTGCCTCGACACACTTCACCATTGAGTTTGACAAGCCCCGCAGATGAACGGAGGCAGATTGAGGTCTCAATCACGGGCCAATTTGTTTGCGGCCTCCACATGTTGCGTCCCGCAGACAATCAAGTTCTGTGTCCACATAGGCCAAACGTTGAGGGTAGTGGCAGCTTCGCCACTGACGTACTGGGCAATGTCAGTGCCCAGATCTCCCGTCTGGAAGGCCGTTTTCAGGTGCAGAGTTTCATGGGGCTTCAACACCACGATGATATCATCTGCGCTCATCTTGGGAGTGTCGCGTGGGCACCACTTAATAAGGCTACCCTTCGGCTGTGCGGTGCGAGCACAGTCGTTGGAGACGGGAACACCGGGTTTCCCGTCAGTCGGTTTGGACATCATCTTCTGCTGAGCAGCTTTTCGCCGTAGTGTCACGAGCTGGAAAAGGCTTCGATGTTGGTGGGTTCATGTTCGGTGGCAACAGCCTGTTGTATACATCAATTTGAGTCCAGGCCATGGAGGCTGGGTCGTAGCCGCGTTGGGTAGTGGTCGCCATCGTACGGAGTCTTCGGGGAAGGCCCCGCACCACCGGAGCGGACGGTAACCTCAGCGGTAAGCTCCTCCCAGCGTGGCCGAAAGACAAAGCGGGCGAAAATTGGTTAATTTTTGGCCCACTTGCGTCGTATTGGCGTCAGAAGGTTCCTTCTTGATGTTAGGAGATGGTTCTCAACGCTTTCAGAAAGGTGACATCGAAATTTCCGTGGTTCTTGGCAAAAATTTCCGGAGCCGACGCGTCACACGTCCTATCTCAGCGACGCAAGCAATGTCTCCCCAGGGGGATGTAACTCGGCTTCACAGTGTTATTATAGCGTAACCAACTAGTACTTACAGCGGAACTACGGAAGCAAGAAACAAGAACAGGAAAGAGCACGTTATTCCTACTTGAATCTCACCTAATAGAGAAGTTTTAATATGCTTCAACTAGCGGCACATGTAGCTCGAACATATATTATAAAGGGCACCTAGACCATTCCAAGTTGAATGACAAAAGAGTGTCTCTTTCTCGCCTTCACCGCCTTTCCTTTGGGCTCCTCCCCGCCACTTACTTCCCCACAAGGCATATACCCCCCGTGCCTACGCCACTGGTCAACCGGCTTTGACTTTCAAGGTTTGGCAGACTCATTTACGCTAGAGTAGTGTACGCTGCCACAAAAAAAAAAAAAAAAACATGTGATAGCGGCCTGGGAACTTTTGACCGGCCCTGTACGTGCCGCATACTAGGCAGCCAACGTGGCTCGAACGAGATAAATGAAAGATTACCAAGTGTATCACATGTCGTATGTCTCGCCACACGTGGGAGCCGGCAGACCGCTTCGCTATCTGGATTTCCACTCTTGGCTTTGGTATCCTTTTTCACAAACTGCTTATGAACCTGATTACGGATATCACTGTGTTTAGAAAAAATTGTGAAAGCTCTAGAGCATTATGCGCACTCTACTACGGGAGAGCCATAAGCCGTCTTGAGATTATCTGACATGTGAGCAAGAGTAAGATCGAACATCAAATGATCAGAAAGAGCAGTCATACAAGCGAAACTGCGAAGTTTCACACGCTAGCATGCAACAAGAATTGCGAAAATTGTGGAAGGTTAAGAAATTTGACAGGAAGGTGATCCAACATAAGCTAACATAGTAATAATTACAACTTATTGTTAAACTGCACTCAATGAAAACTTGCTGAACTCGGCTTTTTGGCAGGAATGAATTTTTCTCACTTCCGCGACGACAAAGTTCCACTACGAAAGGATTGCAGCTTAGCAACGCCGCGCAGCATTTAGTCCAGCCGACCGCCGTCTTCAGAGAAATCCAGAATCTGCGCTGGCCACCATGTGAAACTAATCTTATGTTTTTGTGTTTGTAACTTCTCAGTGAGCAAGCAGGGAAGCATCTGTGGCAGCATCGCTTTTGTGGGAAGTGTTGTGGTTGGGGGGGTCGCCTGGTTGGTGTGTTGCAAGGCTTTTTAATCAAGATCACTTGGAGCCGCTTCGACATCTGTGAATGGACATGTGATCTACCGGCGATGAAAGGCGCAGTTGACTAACACGTCTCTAAAAGAGTTACGCGGCGACGAAACCGCGTCTTCTCTGAGCAGAGGATTGCTTCTTTGGTGATGTAAGCCTAAGCTTTTTCTACATTGAGATTACGCTTGTGCGCGGAGCTACGCGGGCGGTTTTTATTTCGTCATAATCGCTACAACGTGTCGCCCCTGTGTGTTCGTCACCAGCGATTAATCTTCGGGATCGTGTTGTTCGCCGCAGTACTAAAAAAAACCCATTTCGGCTTCTAGCTAAGCACCAGTTCGATTCCGCTGTAGTTTATTAGACGTGACTTTCATTCAATTTGGCAATTGCGCAGAGCTTTGCACCTGTAGTCACACCGACGCGTATCGCAGTGGTTGCGCTGAGATGTCACCTTTGCGGCCTTATCAGCCACGCGACGTCGTGAAAGGTTGTCATATTTACAGCCTATCATCATTTATGTATGGACGAACAAGCACATAAGTTACCGCTGGTTACTCGTCGCGCGTTGTTGGTTACGTAGTACTCTGCTTCGCGTGAATCTCTTGATCTGAACTGTGTCGTGATTTCCTTCAGGCTGGAAAAACCATGACGCTCGTTATGTGAACGACGTCCATGCCATGGCTGACGGGGGCAGAGACTTTCCTGCGCCGAACCTCCCACCGAAGGCGTTCTCCGTCAATCTCGGAGGGTCGAGGTCGTCGGCAATGTTTTCGCTTGCTGGTGAGTCCAGCGACGCTTCTGTTCGGCATCTATGACGGCTGTGCTCACGTGGCAGCGGTATTCATGCATTGTTTTAGCGCCGCATTGTTGCTGTCGCTTAGCGATTCGACGAGTTGCGCTTCTCTCGATGGAAAACATATGTCGGATTTTACGAGTGAACGGCCCAACACGTTACGTTCACTTCCAAACTATGGGCGGTGGACCTATGACTGCTGTAAAAAAAAAAAAAAGTTGCCCGCCTATCTAGCGTCTGGACTTTAACATGACATGACAGTGATGCCTGAAGCATTTATCCCGAGGTGACATTAACAGAAGTAACGCGTTAGCCCTGCAGCACTGCTGTGGAAACGTACTATACAAGTTTTAGTGTGTGAAACATCTAATCTTCTGCTCTTCTGACAATACTATTATTGGCAGCAAACTTTGTCCAACAAAAAAGAAAACGGCAAATCGTGTGTGCGAGGTGGCGGAAGTATCACAAAAGGAAATATTAAGGACCTAAGAGGCAGCACCAAGCTGCAGAGAATGTTTTAGATTGGTTTCTTGCCCTTACAGCTTAAAAACTGTTGTGCCGGCGTGGTACAGATTTTATTTCTTATGACTGATCAGGACAATTCCTAACTCATGTAGGCGTTTTCTATACAGGGATTAGAATATATATGTGTTTTCATTAATATCTAAAATTCTGGGCTGTGTATTAAGCTAGCTCTGTATAGGTTAGCTGTCATAACTTCAAGGCTGAAGGCATCAAAGATGGCAGTGGTTACAGTGGGCAAACAATGTCGCTCAAACAAAGCTACACTGAGTCGCAAAATAATTTACATAGGCTTCAGATTATTTACCATATTACTTGGAAGGGGCTCGAAACTGCTGGCTTCTGTTTGATACAAGTTATGGTATGTTTATTAAAGCTTAATTGTGATTGCGCACTCTAGGATATGTGGTGCCGCTCAGACTAGCGCATCAGAGTGATTCGTGAGATCCATAGGTGAAAGTAGTTCAGTGGGTTTGATAGCTTGGGGTATAGCTATTTTGTCCTATTCTAGCAGGTGTTTAATTATGCAGCTTTGTATGGAAGAATGAGATTTCTCTTGCAGACATGTCCATGCCATAGCCGCAGTAATAGCTTAAAATTTCCTATATTGAAGGTACATTTTGGGCTGTTGTAACTTAGCTTAATATCTAGCCTAACTGCAAGCACAGCTGTTATGTAACCGATATTTCAGCCATATAGTTCACTGAAATTAGAAACCTCACCAAAGTGATGCAGTAAAAGGATAGCAAAACATTGCTTTAATATCCCAATAGTTTATTTTCTTTACGAGAACCCACATGCACAATGAGTAGTCTAGCACAAACCACATGATAATAAGAGTGCACGAAAAATATGTCCAGCATACTGCACAGATTCATTTTGGCGGATACGATAGCCTGTTGATTATATGGACTGATGCTTTTATGAACAATCAAAGTGCTTACTTGACAACTGGTCACCTTTTTTTCAACACTTTTTTTTTTCAGTTCATTGTTGCATATCTATCGATTTTGTTGCATAAAGGCAGTATACTAATTGTGGCAAATAGAAAGCTGTGTATGTGGGAGAGAGATTTGTAATGATGTAGTGATAGCACAAGCCAAGAGACTCATATTTTTCGCTTTATCTACTTATTGGCAGTTGAAAACCTCTTTATTTTAGCAGGCTGTTAAAGAGATGCTAAAAATAAACAATGAATTAGTTCAGATTCATAAATCGTACTCTGCCGACTCTAATGTCAATTTCATCGTTGGTACAGTTATGGAGGAGAAAATCAAGTTAAGCTTTTCATTTTACAAAATTTTGCACCGAAATCTGTACATGTTACGTTGCAAATTGCATTATGTATCATAATTTGGTGTCATTGGCTCTACAAAATTCATTCAAACTTGGTACGCTAAATCTATGGCCCCTTCACAGGACACTTCACTTTGTTTTTACCCATTTGGTACCATGCGGGCCTCAGTAGGTGCCATTGAAGTATGTGGCATTACGGCAAATACTGCGGAAACTTCAGGGTGTCATCACCGCCCACACTTTTTTTTTCTTTCACGCTTTCTCACTTACCAAGGGCCTTCTTGCTGCAAAAGTGGTTTTTGGCACCATGAAAAAGTAATTAACTAACTTGAGAAAGATCGTTTTACCCTGTGTTGTCCTTCAAAAGCCCAGCTACATTTGATGTTGGTGAAAATTCCAGAGAATGAATTACGATATTTTGTTTTGCCTAAATTGGTGCACACCATGTTCGTCATGCCTTTCTCTTGTTGCCAACCATTAAATAGCACTCATCTACACTGACAATTAACAAAGACTGTGCAAATGCTTGACTGCATCCACACGGATTTTTCATGGCATTATAAAACTTCCTACATTCGCGACTCGTATTTAAAATGCATTTAAAATACAAAACACTGCAGTGAAACCGCATTGGTTATTACAGTGAGTCTCCCGTGTTAAAGGCTAGTGTGCAGTGATGCTATTGGCATTGAACTTAATGCAATATAAATTTCTTACGAAGTCTTTTTGAGAAGGTGGGAAGTACAGTGATCAGGGAATAAATTAAAATAGTCTTGCTCATGTTTTATTTGATGAGGCAACTACTTTTGTGCATTTTTGTTCCCGTGATTTGTCACTTTTGGTTCTCGCATCTCGTTATACTAGCTCTATGTACGAGGTCAGTTAGGAGGTTGTGCAGTTGCAGCATTGAAACTCGACTCTGTGACGCAATATGCTGCCTGCATCAGGGCTGTTGCCAAGAACAGGTAGCCAAAGCTGCACTTCACGCAGCGACCAGAGGCTACCAAGGCTAGCAACCACCCTTGTATCTTGAAAATTTTGAGAACATAGTAGCTCAGCTTTACTGCTTTAATGTATCGCTTATTAGGCTGGTGTACATCTCTATAAGGTCCCCCCCTTTTTTTTCTGCAAAGGCTGCTCTGTATCTACGGAATGTCAACGTTTGGTTCTAGTTGGCATGTATTGACGGTGTTGTGCATCAGATAACCGGTCTGTGAAAAGCAGTGGATACAGATCCCCGATTGTGCATAAACTGTTTACCTTGACCTTTTTGTCACTTTCAACGCTAACTTCCAGAGGTTTGGTGAGATGAACTGATTATGATGTGGGACAATTTTCACTTCTAATCTCTTCATTTTCCTTTCTGTCTCTGCAGGGTAGCAAACCGTGATTCCTTCTAGTTTTCCTCTTTGCCCTTTCTACGTCCTGCTGTGGTGCCTTCAGTGTCCTTGTAGTGCGTACCTTCACTGTGGGTGACGAAATACTTGGTAGACCATCATCTGTAGACAAGTAGGCTGATCTAGCCAGGCACATTGGTCTGTCCCTGCGAGTGCTTAAGGCATGTCACCACCTTTTCGTAAACATTTTTGTTAATATTGACCTTTACAATTTTGTTTTAAAATGGGCTTATAAAGGACCATATTCAGTGATGTTCATATGCAAAAAAAAAGTGGGTTTTGTTATTGACAAAACATTTCCCGAACTCAGCCTTTACTGGAGCAGTCATAACTCGAGAATGGAGTGCCGAAATTTTAAACTTTTTGGCACAAAGGTAGCTAACTTCACACACTGTGTAATGAACTAGGGTGTCCCTAGTTTTGATGATTTGGTGATTGGGATAGAAGTGACAGTAAAGACACCTACAAAAATAGAATAAATGCTATCTTTTTCTGCAATGCCTGAAGTAAAGTATTTTTACATGAAAACTACCATTTCTTTTTATTGATCCTATTTCATTGCACAGGTCAGTAAAAAGGAATGAGCATACAAAGTTTTATTGCATAAGATCCATGCGTCATAAAGTTTCTACAAGTGTTTTCATAACAAAAAAAGTGCGAAAAGGTCAAGTTTTTCAGTGCTTTTACAAACAGGGTGATGGTGGCCTACCTAGTTCAATCACCACTCATAGCTAGGGCCCACCTTAGATACCTCAAGCTCTCTCTTGGCTTTTCTTGCTGTCCATCTTTTCTTTAGCTGTAGTTTTGCTTTGCCACTTGACTGACGCTGGGCTTTCTTTACACGGTATTGGACCTCATCGTAGCATGCTATGATAGCGTGGTGGCAAGGTTTTATACCCGCTTCTCTCAAAATGTCTGCTATACTGCTGTTACCATCATTGAAGGGCCACAGAGCATTGTATAAACCAAAAAGTAGGGTGGGCAAGCTCACGTGGACATGTTTGGGAACCCTTTGCCAAACCATACCGTTGAAGCTCTCGCTGGCGTTTTGAGTTTTCCCGTGCAGGCACTTGTTCAAGTGCTCATCCGTACAAAGGTCAGCATATGTAGGCTTCACTTTGTTAAGTACTGCATCATAAAAGCCTCCCTTGTGCATGTAGCATACTACCTCCCAGTGCATTCCATGAGTTAAAATAACAGCACCGATTAAAACAACTCTGAGGGCAAGAGGACATAGAGCATGCCTTGTAGTTTCATCTATAGAACTGCAATGAAACAGGCTTGCTAATGTGGCTTTCTTCATTGCCTGCACGTTTCGGTTTTGCAACTATCCACCACTTGTTCGAAAATTGGCTACAACTTCGGAACTAAGTAAGATAAACACGTAGTTTTTTTTTACGGAATAATATTGAATATTTAGGGGCTTTTGGAATCCGAAAATTACAGAAATGTGTTTTTTTTTAAGAAAGTTTGTTTTCAAAGGTGGTGACATACCTTAATACACCGCTTTGTGGCAAAGAAAGAGGCTTCTCGTGCAGGTATTGTTACTACTGCGGAAAAAGAAGGAAGGAGCATATGCAAGAGTGAATGATGATGATGATGAAAAACATTTATTATAAAAGAGAGAGGTACGGGGCCAAAGCATGACCCCGCTACATGGTCGGCGTCCTTAGTCCGGGACACCGCATGACGAGGCCCCTACTCGCGCCCGTCTCACCAGAGCCCGTTGAGACTCTAGTGATGAGCAGTTGAGGAGGGCAGTCTCCCATGCC